GAATTAAGGTAGATAAATAGGGTTCTTTGTATCTTCTCTTAATGCAAACAATGGGAATTCTGTCTGTAACCAGTTGTCATTATTCAGACTTCTGTTTGCTTTTCCAGGCACCAGAAGCTATTATTTTATGATTTCAACAAATAGAAGAATTTAGACAGAACTTGACAACTCTGCTCTATTGTTTGTTCCATGGTAAAAGATTGCCTTTCCTTCAGCTTTTAATTTAGTGTATAAAACTGTGTACTTTGTTAGTGACAACTTAAAGAAGAAATGAAAAAAAAAAACAACAAACCCTTTATATTTCCTCCCCAGGGAAAGGATATGTTTTTCCTTTCTTTTCCAATCCAACAAGGTGTTCCAAGTGTTCATTTAACCACAGTACAAACACAAAATAAGGCAGCCTAAAGAAAGAAATGGCTAAATAAAGCAGATTATTCTGTTTGAATAACTAACATACAAATCATATTCACTTCCTAGAAGCCAGCCAGACTGCAACAAGTCTGTTCAGAGTGCAATCAAATTTCTACTAATATGGGCCACTCAAATATTTTAGAGGGGATAAACTCATTCAATTTTAGAAGAATTCAATCTATGCCAAAAATCTGATCCTTCATTTCAATTATGATTCAGTATTAAGTAGATCACACTTTATTTTGAGTCAATGAATGCAGAGGCCCAGTAACTACTGTGAGCTATTGCATCTTTTTCTCCATCTCAATTTAGTTTTGACCGTAGTTTTCAACTCTGATTTTCTATTGCAGCACTCCTCTTTGTAAGCTTTTTAACTGCTTTTTGCCAGTTCAAAACATGCAGAAGAGACAGAATTCAGTATAAGCTGCAGGCTCTTCTTATTTCCATTATGTCAAATTAATTTTGAAGTTAGGCATCAGAAATTGTGCAGTCAAGTTCATTCTGGGCCAGGACATCAGGGCTGTGCAGTCAAGCTCAGAACAGCTACTTTGCTTATTGTATAATACATTCTGAAGAAATCAAGCCCATTTATTATAGAAAAAAATCAAATAAACAAACAAAACACCTTTGTTATTTAACTTTCCACCTTTTAACTTTTCCACTTTTTAACATTTGCACCTTTTTCTGATTTTTTAAAATTTTCTTTTACTGATTATTCTTCACATAAATTATGTTAAATTAATTAAAAGCAATAATTTTAATAAGATTTAACAATTTGCAATGAAATCATATGAGGAAAAAATGTCACTGCACACAAGTATTATGAGATATTAAATTAAAATACTGTTTTGAAGGAAGAGGCAAGACAGAGTATTATTACTTTATTCTCTCCAAATTCGTGTTCATTTTGGTCTAATGGTAAAAATTTGATTAGAATATATAAACTAATGGTGCCTTTCATCAAGATTTAATGTTGCTATGTGAATATGCTGTTTTTTAACTAGAATGTTTGGGAGTTGATTATATTTGCTTTTAAGTAGAGGGAAATGATACCCAGAAATCAAGTTAGCATCTACTCTTCTCGTTCTTTACAAAGTCAGACTAGATTATAAGTAATTTCTAAATTTAATACCTATTATACTACAATGAGATTGTGCCACTGTTCGTGAATAAAATAACATGCAAACAGAACTCTCCCTCCCTGTTTGGCAGTGGTTATTTGATTTCTTTTCTGCAGATGTGTGTCTTCAAGAGGGTGATCGCTGTTTCGGCAACCTAATGTAGTCCAGTCATTTACCTGCTTAATCAGGTTAATCTGGTTTGCCTAGCTTGATTATGAACTAGATAAAAATTGCAGAAGATACAATTTATGTGTTATTTTTCTCTCTGACATTTCTTTTCCTTGCTCTTTTGATTTCAGCCACTCAGGCCTCTAAGTTTTCCCCAAGTGTCTATCCCCTGCTATATCCTAACAAAAAAGTGATATTAATTTCAGGGAAATTCATTCACTACAATGTCTTGTGTTTGTACCATAGGCAATCATTTCTTCTAGAACAAGGGTGTGAAGGGCAAAAAGTAGTCAGCTGTCATTTCAGTGGTTTCTAATTTTTTCTGTGGAGAAGTGAAAAATATTTTTATAACAACTTCAGTGAAATTCCTGTCTTGCATTCACAGTCTTCATGTGTTATTAGGATTGTACATATTAGCTCACATAGAACTATTGTTTCTCAGAGGAGGAGAATAAGCATGTGATTTCCTTATTCTTTCATGCATTCTCACCTTTTATCTATAGAGAGATTATTAGGATTTATTAACAATCTTTAAACCTACTGTACTATTAACACAACTTTACAGACCATCACAGTGTTTTCCTATATTGCTTAAGAAAGGCTTGTGTCCTCTCATAGTCTTTGAGCTTAAGCCTGAAATTTTTTTTTTTTTTTCCCTTGGATCCTTCTAATGCTGACCAGGTGACGTAATCCACATCCATCTCCCCAGCTCAGGAATTCAGGAGTGTTCCTTTTTCAGATTATCCTGTGCTTTTGTGGGACTCTCTCAAGGACTCCACTTATGAAAGGGAAAAAGCACACAGATAAAAACTAAACTCTCTCTTAAAGGAAAGGTTACTTGGCGTCAAAGTTGTCTTCTTCAGACACAGAATCAAGGCTGATGTTTCCTATATGTCATGATATAGGCACTGTTCTTAAATTTAGGAATTCTGCTCACACTTCACAAAACTGTGGCTACAGTGCTCAGTTACTGAGTAATTGTAGTGGTGGTACATCTGTGCTCAATACAATGCAGCACCAAGTGTCGTAACACCATCACTGAGAAAAAGTAGGGAACAGCACCTCTTTTTCTGCAGCAGTACCCTAATTTGTGTTCCTTACAGGAAGCTGGTATTCTCAACAGGGGTTGCAAAGTCCTACTTGACATTATCTTCCTCTTTAGGTATCTTCGCTGTTGTAGGTTAAAATATGGTATATTTTTATGGCACTGAAAGTTGTGCTTCTCTCCTTTTGTTCTTTTAGAATGCACTGAATTACTGCTGTCTAGGGTGATATATTCCTAGACTGAATTTCAGCAAGTGTTTCCCAGAGGTTTCAGTATACAACTTTTATGAAAGCTTTTGAACCTTTGGCTCATTTTTTTGAAAGTTTCTACCGGCCATTATAACATCCCAGGGAGATGGGACAACTGAGGACTCCTGTGTTAAATTATGAAGTTGATTATGTTATGTTTGCCCCATGCTCATAATTTCTATATACAGTCAACAGTTCTATAGCATCATGCAGTCTTCTGGATCAGAAGCTGTGGTTTCTCCTGGGCTTTATATAATTGCTATCACAAATTAGTTTTTCCAAGAGTAATAGTCTAAATGTTGTTCACATACTAGTAAAGACTAGATTTTGTCATGCAAATAAGGAAGAAATTTTTTATGATGACAGTGGTAAGACACTGGCACAGTTACCCAGAGAGGTGGTGGGCACTCCATCTCTGGAAATACTCAAGTCAGGATGGACAGGACTGAGCCACATGGGCTAGTTGTCCTAGTTGAAGATGTCCCTGTTCATTGCAGAAGCATTTTAAAGTTCCCATCCAACCCAAACTATTCTATGACTCTGTGATTCTATGGTAAATAATAATTGTGTTCTCAAAACATCATATTCTCCAAAATTTGATGGAGGACAGCAAGTTAAGATGGTCCAGTTTGTAAACATTATTGGCACAAATAAATGTATTCATGGCAGACTCAATCGCTGTTACTTAAAAAGTTCTATGGAATCAAATTTATTTTTGTAATCGTTAAAAAGTTTTTAAAATGTAAATGTAAAAAACCCCTTCTTTTCAATATGTGCTTAGCCATCTTGCAATAGTACTTGGTAAACATAAACACAAATAATTGCTCTAGCTGAGAATTTGGGTCTAGTGTTTTGCTGTCTAGTGTTTGCATGTTTGCTTTATATGGCATGGTTCTCTTTCCTCTCCCTGCCCTTTATTTCCTTTATTTTTCTTTTCTTCAATATTCAGAATTGGATTTCTGTCCTGCTGAGGTTGTTACATGTCAAAAGCTTCCTGTTCTTCGCTAAAGTATTATGAAGTGGAAACCTGTAGAAGTGTGAGGAAAGACAGATAAATACATAAATTAACAAATACGTGCATACAAACATGAATACATAAATAAAAGAAATCTCACATGCTTCAGTACAGCCAGACAGTAATGCTCCCACTGGAAACCAGGATTCAAGTTACTGGAGCAGTTAATAAATCTGTATGTGAATCCTGTCTCTTCCTTGGGATACTGCTGACAAAACATGTATCACAAACACAAATCCAAAGAGTACTGAAGCTGCTCCTGAGTTTTAGTGGGTGGATTTCCTACTTTGTTCTACTCTGTTCCTCTTCCATTTCTTATGCAGCCAAAAATGATTAAGAAAAGGAAACCATATGGAAAAATGTATGGATGTTGAACAGCCTGAATTGAGGAAGCTGTGTCTGATAGCAACTCCATTGCTGTAGTGTGCAAGATAGAGGATATTTCCAGGCAATAGTTGGAGGGGTTGCATGAGCAGAAAACAGTAGATTATATAGTAGGTGTTTTGTTATAAAAGTTCTGCATCCAGCAGCTTTTTTTAGACATGCTGTATGTATCCCTGGGTTTCCTGAGGCTACTGACTGGGCCTGCAGAGTTTGACTGAAGGAGAAGCTTCTTGGTTTGCCGTATTCTTCAGTGACCTTCAAGCATCACAGAAAATTTCTCTTTTGAACTCGATATATTAAGTGATATTGCTAGATGAAGAGGTAACCAGAAATGGAAACTCAGTAGAGCAGGAAATACCCAAAAATAGTGGTCAGAGAGTCTGCATGGATAAGCACAGTCAAACTATAGGGTGAGGGGCACTGGGGCTTATCCTCTTGGCTAGTCACAGGGAGTTTCCTCTCAGGCTTTTTGATTTTGTACTTTGCTTCTGCATCTGGGCATCCATCTGACCTTCACATCCATCGGATATTTACGATAGAAGCCCACTTGTGTCTCCCTGTCCAATGTCAGACTTCTCATACGCGTTGTTATCTTTGTTCCCGCGCAGGTGAACGGCATTGACCTGCGAGGTGCTACCCATGAGCAGGCTGCGGCTGCGCTCAAAGGAGCGGGGCAGACGGTAACGATCATAGCACAATACCAGCCGGAGGGTAAGTGAGATAACCGCCTGGAAGGCAGCTGGCAAAAGAGAAGTGCTCTGGAGCCACTCATTTAACAGGATGAGGCTGTTGTAGATAGCAAGTTTCCCAGCTATCATCAGCAGTCATCTGGAGTGAAAATTCAAGTGACAGTTTTGTCCCAAGGAAATGGCTGTATTTTTGTACAGACTTGGCTTTTAGAAGCGTTTGATGCAACTAACTGTAAGAGTGCTCTTCAAGTGTGCATATAATAACACAGTAATCAAAACTTAGTTAATCATTCTTGTTAGTGTTCGTTTTATGTTCTTTTCTAGTCTCTTCCTGGAAATAGGTAGTGCACAGATAGGTTAAGAGTGAACAGAAATTCCAGGAAGATCTGACATTGCTTCAAACAGTCAGAATTACACAAGGATAAATCCTTCCTGCAGAATGTGTAGAGCTTCCCACTATTGCTTTTGGATGATAGCGTCCTTGTACCTTCAGGGCAATTAGGCCTGGATAACAACTACTTATTAGAGAAAATTACAGCTTTCTAAATAAAAGCATGAGCAAGAAATTCAGAAAAATGTAAGACATTTAAGGTGGGGTGTATCTCATTCACATTTTGCTGTCTAATATTTAGTTTTCTAGAGGTTAAGTTAGTTTCAGTGGGCAGAAGTAGGCACTGACTGATTTGGAGTCCATAATTAAAGGGCAGAACTCCTTGTTGTCCATGCGCAGTGACCCAAATGACTATGTGAGGTTCTCAAGGAATTTGTGAGAGGAGTGTTACCTTCTGATTGGAAATCAAGGTGGTTTCCTTGAGTTTTTACTTAAAAGTCTTTTCCAGATTAATTCAGCAAGTACAAGTGTCTGTGAAGACTTGCTGGCACCGTTGTCATTTTTCAGGAAGCACTTCTAGCTCAATTCAGAATTTGATTCTGCCTGATTGTGCCCAGCCTAGGAGATATGTAGGTCTCATAGGTGAAACAACAGCTCTATAACATGCTCAGGTTCTTTTAGGGAAGATGAATTAGTTATTCCAGAATTTATCCAGTATGATATTTTCCTTCATTTCTCTGGATCCTGATGACAGCACTCAAGGAGAAAAACAGCTTCTATTTTAGTGAAATGTACAGTTGTGCTTCAGATCTGGAATCAAGTATCCATTTATAAGTTTATCTGTACCTGAGTCACCAAACAGAATAAATTAGGCCATAGTAAGAAATGGGCAGATGAGAGCAAATGAAATTGAAAGTATCTATCTTTAGTTAAATAAATGGAACATATTAATATAAAAATGCATGAGTAATAATCAGCATTATTTCAAAGAAGTATTGAAAAGCAATTCCATTACAGATAGAGTTCTGCACTGGGTTCTGAATGAAGCCATGTTCCTATTAGTTCCAGCAATCTTGTTTGCTGTCTGGTGATTTTACACTGCAATTATCACCATGGTGTCTGGGTACTTGTAGCAATCAGTGGCATGTCACAGTTGTTCTGTGCCGCCGTTAATACATAAAAAATACATCACTTGACAGCTTTTTCCTATTAGAATTGAACTTTTAGTTGGCATACATGTAGACTACATTTTAGAAGCTCTGTCCTGTGTCAAATTCAGTTTTGGTGAACATACAATTCAGATGATGCTGATTAAATCCATCAGGTATTATACTGGACATTTATTCCATTTTTCCTATGTCATTGCTCCATTCACCAAAAACCCTGTTGAGGGCAGACTAGTCCCAATGTCATCACTTCTTATCAGTGAAGCAAAACCAGTTTTCTGTTTCAGCCACATAGCTCAAATCATACCACAGAGAGTGAAGCTTGTGATGAACAGGGCCCAAAAGTTTGTCTTTTTTATAGTAAATGGTTGAATCTTTAAAGGTAGTACTCTGTAGTTGTCCAGCATGTGTTACGTTACAGCTGAAATATTTAACTTTAGTCTGAGATTCTGGTTAATGCAAACTGCATAAAGCAGATGTAAAATGAAAAAAATGTTTCCTGAGAAATCCCTTACACTAAAGAAAGATGAAAAAAAATTTAAAGAGTTAAGTAACCTTCACAGAGAATTATTTTAATATTTAAGTTACACAAAAACATACTTTATATGAGACTAAACACTAATTTAATTCTAAAGTTATTGCAGAACTCTTTTTATCCTTTATTTGAAATTCATACCCAATTTCTTGTTTACTGTATCTTATCTTTTTGAATGTATTGGAACATAGTCATAGAATAGTCTTAAAACTGTACAACTGTGCTTCCCTCAGGGGCTTCTCACTTTTAACGCTTCCAAATCTAGTAAAGTTCATAAGCTAAGTTGCCTGGTAGCTTGCTTCTTCCATTTTCACACTGGAAGTTCTGAGTTGTTACTACAACTTCAGGTTTTTCTGGGGAGATCCAAGAATAGCCACTACAAATGTTAATCAGTACCTTTTTTAAATCTCTTCAGATTATTAAGGCATTAGATGTCATTGCAAAAAAAAACAAAAACAAAACAACAACAAAAAAATTCAATGAATCCTTTAGCTATTGATATTTCAGGTATTGAGTGATGATGATATAAGTACCAGTCAATACTGTAAGCATACTGATTAAAATTGTGAGTAGAAAAAGCTTACTTTTATGCAGTAATGGAAAGCTTCCAGTATGCTTATCTTGGTATTTTCTCAACAAATAAATAATATGCTATGCTGTGGGAAGAAAATTAGGTGAATTCTATGGAAACAGCTTTCAAAATTTAAATGTCTCTTTCTTTGTTTCAAACAGAATCCCATTCAAAGCCTCATATGAACTTCCTTCACACTAATGTGTAGAGACTTGGCAACAAATCTCATAAGAATGGTAACTCCTATCAAAAAAAAAACCCTAGTGCTTGCCATCAATTTGAATAGCTTTTCCCATCAATATCGTGGTGGTTTTTTTGTCATCTTGTTGGGAATGCACAAATGCAGAGATGAGCTCAGACAAATCACAACATTTTTTTGAATGCTGTCATGGCTGAGGTTGGTGATGGTGCTCAGCTGAAGCACACTGCTCATCCCTCAGATGAAAGTGGTCTTAGTGAAAATGCTGTAAAAAGAGCACAGATACTGTGAATAAAGGGAGAATAGAAGAGACAGTGATTTTGTGCAGTTGTTTAATGGAAATAAAAGGGATAGTATAAATGAAGAACTGATTCATCAGTTTTGCTCTTCATTCCCTTTTTTCCTTATTTACACTCACCACCTTTATTTCCCTCTTCTCTCTGAGAAACAGAAGAGGCAAAGTGCTACGAAAATCCAAACAGAAATGTAAATACCTTGAGCAAAATTATGGAGAGATTATTAAGAGCAAGAGGAAAATACATCACAGAAGTTAAAAAAAATCTGAGCTCAGCTGTAGAAGTACATATTTAGGAACAGCAGCCATAACTCTGGGCTTCTTGAGTGATTCCTTACTTTTATTTAAAAAACTGAAAATAACCTGTGTACTGTATGTTATGTACACATGTATTGTGTAAATGGAGGACAATTAATGGTTAAGTATCATGATCTCTTAATAATCATTGTGGTTGTAGTTCATATGGAAGTTGATGTATTCAGTCCACACTAACTAGTCCCTGCAGGCTTCAGAAAGATAACCTTTCATAGTCTTGTGAAATTCGCATCTGCTGCACGTGGTTGATACGAAATTAAAGATAATTTAAGGATGAAAAGCTACTTAGAAAAAAATTAGAAGACGAACCAATCTCTTATATTTGGCTTTGCATTCCAATTTTTAATAATCAGAAACATTTTAACTTTCCTCACAGCTTAACAACTCTCAGATCTCTTTTAAAATATTGCAAAAATGTGAAGTAAATTAAAGAAAAAAAAAAAACTGAGCTTGAAAAATAATCTTAGGATTTAACAGTGTGTCCCTATTAAACAATTAAGTAGAAATTAAAATGGAATATATATCACACAGGGAAACACATTTTACATTTCTAGGTTTTTCTTCAGGACATGTTTTGTTGTTTAATGGCAAAAATTGCAAGTATAGCCCAGTATGGAATGAGTTAAGAATAAAAAGCATTTTTTCAGTTAAGCTAAAATATGTTTTTTAAGAAAAGGGAGCTTTGGTTGAAATAGTGACAGTTTTTCCTGAAAGACACAGCTTGGGGGTGGGGACAGACAGAGTACTAGTCTCCTAATAAAGCTGTTAAAAAGCTTTACTGCACATTTTAGTCTCAAAAGCTCATGTTCCTTTCCCCCAACTCAGCAGTGTGAAAAGGTGAAGTGTAGCCTTAAGCTTTGTGCAGAACACTCCTGTGTCAGTGGTCTGGGAGCTGAGCTGTGCTGCATTGCAGTACCTCTGCAGCTACTGCCTCACAACAGCCCCTGGAAGAGTGTTCAAGCAATTGGAAGTTCCACGTGCTTTCAGTCTTTCAATCGAGATTTTTAACCAGTTCCCTCGCCAGCTCGCACACGGGGAAAGCGGTCATTGATTACATTTGATTAGAGCAGCTGACACTGGAGAGGTTAAAAAGTTGTTAAAGATTTTGTGTTTTGTCTCTTTTTGAGGGAGCTGCTGCTTGATGCCTGTTGTGAGGTGAGTAGCTGAGCTTTACGTAGAGTGTGAGAGGGAGAGGTACTGTGATAGGCAGTGTCTGTCTTTGCAGGCAATAGCTAAGGAAATTTTTGAAGAAATGCACTTAAGCAACTCCTGGAAACTCTGATACCAAATTCACTTTTTTATTCTTTTGCTCCTAATTCTGGGAGGTTCCATAGAACATTAGAATACACCTAACTTTTGTAAACAGCCCCAGATTTTATTTTAAAATACCCCTTGTCATACATGTTTGCCTGAGCTGCAGATGGTAAGATTTGCTTTCTTGAAAATATTAGATGAAAAATCCAGGAGTCACTTCTGAAGGACTCTGAAGTGAAGGGTACTTTTTAGCACTTTCCCCTTTTTTATCCCCTGCTCCTGCCTCAGAGTACAAACACTTGTCTCCTCTTTTGGTACAACAGTCACATAGATTCCTGATTCAGACCTTTAACCTT